TTGGTTGCTTGCTTGAGGGCCGGATCTCTGATTTGGGCACGTGGCCACTTCTGTGCCAAACGTTGATTCAATCTTCTCACAAGTTCCGTTCGTTGTTCTAAAGCTTGGGCCCTATAAACCCTAAAACCATTTTGCAGCAGACAAGGCTTGGAAGGGTATGCCCGGACACGTTCAGCCTAAACCCTTTTTGCGCCAGGGCTCTCTCAAGTCACTGGTTGTAGATTGTGCGCACATGTTGTGCCCTAAACCCTAAACCCTAAACCCTAAACCCTAAACCCTAAACCCTAAACCCTAAACCCTAAACCCTAAACAGCCCAGCGGCCAAAGAAGCCCGAAGGTCGGAGATCTTGATGTGCGGGAAGGGCCGGCAGGCTTTCAAACAGCCAGGGGCAGTGCAGTGCTTCCTGAGCTTCACGGGTTTAGGGTTTAGGGTTTAGGGAAACTGTGAATTCACACGCTTGGATATCGTGGAGCTGTTCAACCCTTGTTGCAACAGACTGGCTCTCAACAAAAGAACGTGCTCAAACCCGGACGGATGAGGGGGCTGGGAGTTTTGGCAGGGTACTGAAGTGCTGGTGCAGGCCGTGCCTAAGCCCTAACTAAACCCTAAACCCTAAACCCTAAACCCTAAACCCTAAACCCTAAACCCTAAACCCTAAACCCTAAACCCTAAACCCTAAACCCTAAACCCTAAACCCTAACCCTAAACCCTAAACCCTGGGAAGGCCATGGCTCTTGTGGAAGAAGTCGTCTCCCACAATCTGCGCGTGCCACTTGTATCCTGTAGCGGAGCATTCCTGCGCGGATGGCACACCCTAAACCCTAAACCCTAAACCCCTAAATCCTAAACCCTAAACCCTAAACCCTAAGGATCCACCTCGAGGACCAAATGAACTCTAAAAGGGTTTATGGGTCATATACCCTAGTAGGCATATGACCTCCAATTTTAGGGTTCACTGTGTCCCCAAGGCATGTACCTGTTGTGTATATACTTGGGCCTTACAGAGGGGTCCTATATGCCCGGGTATGTGGCGTGGGTCCTTGCTTGAAGGTGCCCTAATATAGTTATAATTTGGGTTATAAGTGCAGTTATAATTGGTTACTAAATACCATGAACCTCCAAGTAGGGAAAGGTGTTCTGCGCCAAGGCCACCCGCTTCCCCCACCCAATCTGGGACATCTCCTGCGCTGCGGTAACCGGCAAATCCTGAGTGGTTTAGGGTTTATGGGGTTTAGGGTTTATAGGGTTTAGGGTTTATAGGGTATAGTATATAGGGTATAGGGTTTAGGGTGTAGGGTTTAGGGTTTAGGACTCATGACCACCATGCGCGTTGCTGCCTGCCTGACTACAGCATCAACAACTCAACACATCGTGCGAGGCTTCTGCAAGATGTGCCTGTCATGTCAGATGCGTCACACTCCTTTTTTTGGGGGGTTAGGGTTTAGGGTTTCAAAATGAGGCAGTGACACTTTGCTTTGGTCCAAGAGGGTTGTACGGAGATGCCGGTCTACATATTAGTCATGATGAACCTAAACCTAAACCCTGAAAACCCTAAACTTTTTTTGTAACGCAGACTCTGTGCGTCAGCTGGCTCGATGACACTTGCACCGGCGACATCCAAGAACCTAAACCCTAAACCCTAAACCCTAAACCCTAAACCCCAAACCCGAAACCCTAAACCCTAAACCCTAAACCCTAAACCCTAAACCCAGCCAAGCTTCCTTCACCCCTTGCACATCCTCCAGTGGCATCGGCTCATGGTGCTCCCCGCATTCGGATCCTTGCTGGGCAGAAACCCGAAAGGGTTCTTTTTCTTGCCACCCGCTTAGCTGACCTCGAAAGGGTTTAGGGTTTAGGGTTTAGGGTTTAGGGTAGACCCGGGAGTAGCAAGGTGTGGCATGTCCAGGCGTCCATCGGAGTCGTCGTCATCCACATGTAGGGGTACCTGTCGGCAGTTTGCTTCTGTTCTGGCTGGTTCTTAGTTGAGGAGGAGGGAATGAGGGCCCTATGTAATTCCTTCAAGGGTGTATCTAGGGCCCTCATTCCCTCATTCCCATGGCTCTTTTAGGTCTATTGCGTCGTAGGGGGGTCTCCTCTCAGACATTGATGCCTTCACCGTTTGCAGCTTTCTTGTAGCTTTCTGCGTGCAGAAGAAAGATCAGCACTCGGCAGCTCCAACTCAGCTGAGGAGTGCGATGATCCGGGACAGCAATATGTTGGTTTCCGAAATGAGGGGTACCTTATCGGTCCGTATCCCTATTTTCGTAAACCCCACTATCCAAAGTTTCTGAGACTGATCTTGGCTGCACTTCGCAGGGTAGCTGAAAATTTTAATTTATAGCTGCCTTATTAAGAAACCCAGTAAGCCCAAAAAGGCTAAGGATCCAAAGTTACAGTAAAGCACCGCAGAGTGATTGTTGCTTTAAAGCTCCCATCTTGCGGATGGACAAGAGCAACTGGAGCACCTTCACAAACTTGCTCGTGCATGCTCTTAGCTGGTCAAATACACAACCCTAAACCCTAAACCCTAAACCCTGAACCCTAAACCCTAAACCCTGAACCCGCCTTCGGCTTGGGAGCTCCGGTCGCCACGGGAGGGCTCACCGCTGCGGAGCGCGAGGAAGCCCCACAACCTCGATTCAGGGGTGTGCTGGGGTTTAGGGTTTAGGGTTTAGGGTTTAGGGTTTAGGGTTTAGGGTTTAGGGTTTAGGGTTTAGGGTTTAGGGTTTAGGGTTTAGGGTTTAGGGTGTGAAGCCCCAGAGGCTTTTTGGGGGCTTAGGGTTGTTATGGCTTTTAGTAGGCGTCTAGGGCCTTTAAGGGGCTTGTAGGGTTTAGGGTTAGGGCCTTTAGTCTCTCCTACGCTCGCACGAGGCAACACCAGTCTGCTCCCTAAGGGCCCAAAGACCCCAAATCATAACCCCAATGTAATGCAGATAAAGAAAGTCATACCCTAAACCCTAAACCCTAAACCCTAAACCTTTGGGCTCATGTGGTCCCAAGGCAGAACTTTCTTTTGCCACCACCCCCCTCCCCCAAATTTCCGAGCAGAGCCAAACTGCGGCACCGAAACTCCTAAGGCCCCAGACATGGTTGAGGGAGTTGAAAGGGTGTAGGGTTGAGGGTTTAAGTTTAAAGGGTTTAGGGTTTAGGGTTGAGGGTTTAGGGTTCGGGAGGGCTGTGGGCTTCCGGTGGGTGCTTTGAGTAGGGAGGCCATACTATTTTGACAGGCATGCAGAGGCACCCTCATGGCGAGAACTGCTCTGCCGATGACCCTGTTGGATACTTGGCTCTGGACAGCGAGGCCAGTTTTTTGTCTCACTGAGACACAAAGACTCACACACCCTTCAGGAAGATGAAAGACCCGACCCTAAACCCTAAACCCTAAACCCTAAACCCTAAACCCTAAACCCTAAACCCTAAACCCTAAACCCTAAACCCTAAACCCTAAACCCTAAAGCCTAAACCCTAAAGCCTAAAGCCTAAAGCCTAAAGCCTAAAGCCTAAACCCTAAACCCTAAACCCTAAACCCTAAACCCTAAACCCTAAACCCTAAACCCTTCACTCTGTCAACTTGATCCGCCTCCCCTTGCAAGGTTCCACGGACTCTGCATCTGACACAAGCAACTCATTCTAATATAGGGGCCTGGGTCATTTATAATAGGGTTCGGCAGGGTACCCAAAGAGCCCCAATATCCCTTAATTGGGGAATGTTGCTTAATTTATAACGGGGATCCTTACTATGGTTTAAGGTATATTCGGAATTGGGCTCTTTGGGTAATCACGGTATAATCGCATAAAGGGACCAGAAGGGAGTACCGTTGGTAATTCTTTCGACCCCTAAACCCTAAACCCCAAACCCTTGTTCCTAACACCTAAACCCCAACCCCTAAACCCTAAACCCAAACCCCAAACCCCAAACCCCAAACCCTAAACCCTAAACTCAACCGCAGCAAGGGGGCCCATGACTGGTCGGCGCGAGGCCTCAAGACCAGGCACCCGCCGGCAGCATCCGTCAACAGAGGAGGAGGAAGCTGCCAGCTTCTTGTGCTTAGGGTTTAGGGTTTCAGGTTTAGGGCTGTTCTGGCCTTCCTGGTGTTTGGGAGCAGTGTCTGAGTGGGGGGGGGGGGGGGGGGGGTGGCAAAATAGCCCTAAACCCTAAACCCTAGACCCTAGACCCTAAACCTTAAACCCTAAACCCTAAGCCCAAGCCCTAAACCTTTAACCCTATCAGCCCCAGAGGTTTGAGCTCCACATGTTCGGGACATGCATGGACTGACGTAAAGCTGGAGCCATGCAGTCGGCAGATTGGACCCTCACAAAGTCCCATAGGGTTTAGGGTTTAGGGCTTAGGGTTTAAGGTTTAGGGTTTAGGGTCTATCCCGGCGTGCCCCAAGATAGACAGAACAGATCCTTGGGCCAAGCATAATACCTACTTTGGGGTCGAGACCCTAAACCCGAAACCTATACTTTAGGCTTTGGGGCTGCTTGGAGCCTGAGGGAGCGGCGAGTCTTATGGCATTTGGGCTTTCCCAAATTCCGGGTCGGTCCCCTATTTTCCTAAACCCCCAGTAGAGTGGCTTGGGGTGTAGGGTTTAGGGTTGAGGGTTGAGGGCTTAGGGTTTAGGCTTTAGGTATCGGGCAAACAGGTGGGCCAAAACAGGGCGGTGCCCTGTTGCGGGATTCGACGTCAATGAAACGTCAACTTCAGGAATTGTCATTTTGCACCGAAAACAGACATGCCTTTGTAGGCTACTAAAAAACAACACCCTTATAGGATTCTTAAGGAACCTGCAATGCAAAGAAGTAGGTTTTGGGTTCTTAATTAATTAAGGTAGGGTTTAAAGTTTGCGTCCAGATACCTGTCGTCTCCCCGTGTCGGTTGCACGGTTTGCCCTAAACCCTAAACCCTAAACCCTAAACCCTAAACCCCAAACCCCAAACCCTAAACCCTAAACCCTGAAAACCCTAAACGTCGATTCAGAAACGTCGGGGAACGGGCAGGCAAGGCATTGGACCCGTCCAGGTTGGGAAGCACCTGGGACAGCAACTCGGACCATTCTAGGGTTTAGGGTTTAGGGTTTCGGGTTTGGGGTTTGGGGTTTAGGGTTTAGGGTTTAAGGTTTAGGGTTGAGGGTTTAGGGCTTCGGGCTTAGGGTTTTAGTGCAGTCCGTATTGCCGGAAGACACGGCGTGCAAGTTAAACAGCTTCATGCAGGGGTGCCCCAGGCCATGGCAAGGTAGCCAGAAACCTCGCACCGAAACCAAACACTTCCGGCGCTGTGTGCCCAGGACCCGGGCCGTCAGACCCTCCAGTTGCACATTGCCACTGTCCTCACATGTCAGGGCCTTTCTTGCGGAAGGGGCAGGTGTCACAGTGTAGAGTCATGTACGGGTGGCCTGTCAAGAATGCCCTTGCAGCACAGTCAGGGGGCTCCCGATGGACAGGCGCGAGGGCCACCTACCAGAATTATCATTTGTGGCCCGTTCTTGTGGGAATAACAGTGTGTGGAGGTTCCTCCATCCCTAAACCCTAAACCCTAAACCCTAAACCCTAAACCCTAAACCCTAAACCCTAAACCCTGAACCCTCTCCCCAAACCCCAACGACTTCGAACTTCTCCTCTCGCCCCTGTGCCCCCGCGAAGACGGCCAAACGCTCGAGGCGCCGTGCCCATCCTGCAGTTTAGGGTATAGGGTTTAGGGTTAGGGTTTAGGTTTAGGGTTTAGGGTTTAGGGTTTAGGGCTTAGGGCTTAGGGTTCAGTGTGAGGGCTTAGGGTTTAGGCTCTGGTGTTAGGGGCTACGAGGACAGACATTCCCGAGTATGAACGACCAGCAAGCTAGAGCCCAACACCCAATGGCGCACTTAGGACCTGTACTTGTCGGTTCATGGTACTTATTAACCAATAATACCTGTACTTATAACTGTACTTATAAGCCCCTTAAGTGCCCTAATATAGTTATAATTTGGGTTATAAGTCCAGTTATAATTAGTTACTAAGTACCATGAACCTCCAAGTAGCCTACATGTATGTGTAAGATGCTAATCCTAGTTGTCCAGTACCTAGGGGAACTAAAGGTTAAGCTTTGAGATTATAAGGGGATTTAGTATTACCCAAAAAAGGTTACAGATTACCTACTTTACTACTAAGCAATTAATAATCATGACAGACAACAAACGATCATCGGTACAATGCTCGTGTCATCGCAACATGAAACGCTCCGAGAGCACCAAACACAGAGCGAAGAGCACCTTGGCAACCGTATGATCGTATGCTTGAGCTGTGAACATGAAGGCAGAAGTCGGTTCTGCAGATTGGAGATGTTCCTAGTGCTAAACCCTAAACCCTAAACCCTAAACCCTAAACCCTAAACCCTAAAACCTAAACCCTAAACCCAAAACCCAAAACCCAAAACCCTAAACCCTAACCCTAAACCCTAAACCCTAAAGCCTGTGAAGACCTCTCAGTGTCCCGGGGAGCCCCGCGCGTGTAGTTGCATTGCTCCGCTTCATGGGCCTGGTGTTTACGCGGCTCTAGAAAAAAAACACGTGATGCATCCTGACGCAATAGGGGGGGGGGGTTAGGGTTTAGGGTTTAGGGTTTGGGGTTTGGGGTTTGGGGTTTAGGGTTTAGGGTTTCGGGTTTAGGGTTTCGGGTTTAGGGGGGGAGGGTCGACCTAAACTCATGAGCCCATTCTGGTTTTGGCAGTACTCTGCTCCGACATGTACCAACATATGGACCGCCAAGCGCACCCTGCAGAATCCAACTCTCTGTCGGGGCATGTTCGGCTTGGGATGTGCTGGCTAACTTACTGGGTTTAGGGTTTAGGGTTTAGGGGTTTAGGGGTTTAGGGTTTAGGGGTTTAGGGGTTTAGGGGTTTAGGGGTTTAGGGGTTTAGGGGTTTAGGGGTTTAGGGGTTTAGGGGTTTAGGGGTTTAGGGTTTAGGGTTTGGGGCTTCATGGAGAAGAAGGGGGCAGTGAGTGCCCCAGATTCTCGGCCTAAGCCTTGGAGAGACCCTGTAGGGTACCCTCATCCCCTCATGCCCTGGTACCTTCTCCCTAACACCCTATGCACCAGTAAGTCAGGAGCCTCAAAGCTTGTTTTGCCCTAGGAGTTGTAGACTTCTGAGCCGGGCGAATCTGAGGCTGAAGTAGAGTTTTAGTGTGTACCTCAGCCGCCAAAAGCCTGAAAAAACACCCCTTAAACTCCTTCCTAAGCCCTCACCCCCGAACCATACCCACACCCCAAGGGGGGGGGTATAATTTACAGTCTGTTCCTTAAATTGGGGAGGGGAGATCCCTGAGAACCGTCTCAGGGAGAGGCCGCAAGGGCAGCCTTCGTCTCAGCAGCCACCTCGTGAAGTGGAGGTTTCGGGTTTAGGGGGTTTGGAGTCTGTTCAAGACCACCTTAGCCCCGAAACCCCGGGAATCAAAACTTCCTGGGCCCTGAGTTGTACAATGGTGAAAAGACCCTAAACCCTAAACCCTAAACCCTAAACCAGAAAGCCGAAGGTTGGGACCGGGCTTAGGGTTTCGTTTCCTGCAGGACGCCGAGGGAGGTACGCGACCAACTGCTCGAACAAACGTGCAAGGGGATCAGGGTGCTCATTCGGAGATTCTGATCGAGACCCCTAAACCCTAAACCCTAAACCCTAAACCCTAAACCCTAAACCCTAAACCCTAAACCCTATAGGCAGGGCCCCGCCTTCTTGTTGATGGCCACGACCTCTTCGTCACCTTCGCAATGAGGCCCGAGACAGGTTTCAACCAAGGGTTTAGGGTTTAGGGGTTGTGGCCCAAGCAACGATTGGGTTCAGGGCTTAGGGTTTAGGATGTATGGTGCAGAGTTTGGGGTTTAGAACCCTCTTTTGCCGAAGGCTCGATGCCATAGAATGTGCTGTCCAAGCTCCACCCAACAAATTCCGATACCCTGATATGCAGAGAGAGTGTGATGAGCCCAAAAAAACACGGCGTGCGCACTGGAAAGGCAGTGAGAGTTCAGGAAAGGCCATACCATCGGCACAACCAACACCAAGACACTTGACGCATAAATCCCCAAAGCTCGGAAAGTTACCCCTTATACTATCGTCATAATCCCTAATTATTACGGACTGTTAGTATAAGGGGGAACATCCCAACCCTGAACCCTGAACCCTATACCCTAATTACATCCCAACCTAAAGCCCTCAACCCTTCCTGGGGATCGGGCCACTCGCGGCGGCAAGAAGAGTTTCAAGGCGCTGCTGCTGCTCCTGCAGCAGGTTTAGGGTTTAGGGTTTAGGCTGGTTTAGGGTTTAGGTCCCTTAACTTCAGGAGCACCACTTCTTGACCTTGTAGACCATAGAGGGGTGGTATGAAATGGGGCATGTTTCGGTAGCTAAGGAATACATCAAGGGAATCAATGAATATCTATGAACGAACCAAGGAACCTGTGAACCCAGGTGTCCATTCTGTTGTTAAGGATTTGGTGCTTTAGCCCACAAGCAAACTTCCCTAAACCCCTAAACCGCCTAAACCCCCTAAACCCTAAATCCTAAACCCTAAACCTTGGGCGTCTTTGCAGCACCCAGAGGCTCGCCCTCACAGCCCCCTCCAAGCACTCCAGAAAGTGCTTGCAGGGCTTAGATGTCAGCTGCGTGCGTAGCCACGCCTGTGGAAACCCAACCCGCGCGCCTGAACCCAGCAAAAGTCACAATTCTTCCTTTAATTTCCCTTCTAAACTACACCCTGACTCTGTCCCAAGGTCCTGCTGCAGCTTGCGTTGTACGGATGCCTCGCTTGAACCCAAGAAGCCCCTGGCCCAATACCCCTGAATACATGGGAAAATTCAGGGGCATTCCGGTATATTCTTTGCAATTTTGTGTAGATATCATCATTCTGAATTAAAGTACATTCCTTGATTTCGCGCATTGGGCTCTCGGGCGTACGACACACTTGAGAGCGGGCCCCGGGAGTTCAGGGCAGAGGGCTTGGTTTAGGGTTTAGGATTTAGGGTTTAGGGTGTATGGTCTTTGGTTTAATTTGGGGGGCTTTGGGGTGTATGGTCCGAGGCGCTCAGCCATGATTGAGGAACAAGAACGGTTGCCGCAGCGAGCTCACACAATTCGGGGCTCTTGCCGCAATCTTCTAAGGCAGGGTTTCAGGGTTTTAGGGTTTCAGGGTTTTAGGGTTTTACAGGAGTGTTGAAGAATGAGGGTTGTAGGAGCAAGAACTTCGTGCAGCCTGCGCCAAAAAATGCGACAGCAATAGCCCATCAGGTGCGGGCGCTTTCGATGGCCTGCTTGGCCTCAGTTGTCCGAGAAGATACCAAAGGTTTTCGCAACATCCTGCTGGACTTGGAGCCCTGTTGGCGGGGGTTTGGGTTTGGGGTTTCGGGTGTGGGGTTTAGGGTTTAGAGTTAGGGTTTAGGGTTTAGGGTTCAGGGTTTCGGGTTTCGGGTTTGGGGGTTTAGGGTTTAGAGAAACATTGTCTCTCATCAGGGCACAAATAACTTCGGAGCCCAAAAGTAGGCATGCATGTGTACATACGTGCATGCCTCCGTACAAAGGAGATTTCCAACATACACACACAGGCAGACACAGCTGTCTTCTGTAGTCAATATCAATGGGAGCATGCATGTACTTGTGAATGCGGGCATACACTACTATTTGCTTAAGAACCCCAAAAGAATAACAACTATTCACCCCTATATTGCCCTCATAAAGAGTTTAAAAAAATGGGGGGGTTCCTTAAGCAATTACTAGTAGATGCATGCATGCCATCATTCTAGTAGGCATGAGCTGTTCAAAGTATGCATACGTACATGTTCAAGCACGCCGCCTGCTTGAGCTGCCGACCTCCTAGTTGCCAAACCCTACACACTAAACCCTAAACCCTAAACCCTAAACCCTAAACCCTAAACCCTAAACCCTAAACCCTTTTTGACTCGGGGAGCTGAAGCCCGATCACAGCACGAGCCGAGTTCCACTCAGGCCAACACCCTAAACCCTAAACCCTAAACCCTCAACCCTAAACCCTAAACCCTAACTGCTTTCAGAACCCTCTAAGTGGGCCTGGTGCTTCTGCAAACGCACGTAGGCACGCTTGGAGGGGCCTGGGAAGAGCGGTGAGGGCTTTAGCAAGTAACCCGAAGGGTCCATGTACCTAAATAGAGTTTAGGGTTTATAGGGCTTAGGGCTTAGGGCTTAGGGCTTAGGGCTTAGGGCTTAGGGCTTAGGGCTTAGGGCTTAGGGCTTAGAGCTTAGGGCTTAGGGTCCATGTACCTGAATAGGGAATACTTGGGCCTTAGAGTACCTCTATGTAGGGACTGTTGGGCCCAAGTATATAATAATGAGGTACATGGACCCTTAGGGGAAGTCAAAAGCCGGTTTCTTTTGTGCCTCTATATGGGTCAAATCGGACCTAGGGGAGCAGCTGAAAGGCCAGAAGTTTAGGGGCCCAAAGAGCCCAATATCCCTTAATGAGGGAATATTGCCCAATTCATATAGGGATCCTTAATTATGGTTTAAGGAATATTCCTTAATTAAGGGATATTGGGCTCTTTGTGGGCTAGGGAGGCCAAACCCCAGCGGCTCAGTCCGGTCCTGTTTAGGGTTTAGGGTTTAGGGTTTAGGGTTTAGGGTTTAGGGTTTAGGGTTTAGGGTTTAGGGTTTAGGGTGCATCAGGAATAAGAGCAGCGAGGGAACCAAGCCTACGCCGTGCACTCCTGGGCTGAATGCGCCTCAAGGCCACCCTAAACCCTAAACCCTAAACCCTAAACCCTAAACCCTAAACCCCAAACCCCAAACCCCAAGCCCTAAGCCCTAAACACAGTCCTGGCACCCCCCCACACTTCGAAACCCAAAACACGCCAACGAAGCCCCTCTTCTACAGCTGCACTTACCAGCTGGGTGCTGTGGCAGGAGATGACCAAGCCCGCCGGATTTCGGAAGTTGCCTACAAGCCAGGGGAGGCGAGAGGGCGACAGGCAGAGTTATGGGTTAAGTTGTTTTGTTGGTGCCTTCGTCACTTTTCTCGGCGGGCCAGAATGACCCCAGCTGGGAAACACTAAACAGGGTTTAGGGTTTAGGGTTTAGGGCTAAATGTAAACCCGCGGTTTAGGGTAAAGCCACAAATCTTCAACCTTGGCTTGATAGAAGGCACGATGCGCGTGGCATGATTGCGTCACACAAAAAAAGCAATCAGGATGGGCGAGTATCCTACAATACATCCAGAAGGCCTTGTATGGTTTAGGGTTTAGGGTTTAGGGTTTAGGGTTTAGGGTTTAGGGTTTAGGGTTTGGTTGAAGGTGGGGTTGATGAGGCCTGTGCTGCACTTGGGTTTCTTGTGTCTTTTCACCTCAGGACAGGCCTCGCGACAGTGCCAACACACGCTGGCAGAAGGAACGGTCCGTCTCTGGTCCAGAAACTTTGAGCCATGAGTCATGCTCCGAAGACCCTCATGGTTCAAGATGACAAAGAACTCACCCTAAACCCCAAACCCTAAACCCCAAACCCTAAACCCCAAACCCCAAACCCTAAACCCCAAACCCTGAACCCGAAAAACAAAGAACATCTTCAAGGTTCTGGAGGTCGTGCAGAGGCGGCCCAGTGTGGGAACATGCACTTAAGGCCAATATAAGCTGTCATTCAAACGAGGCCTGCCCGTCTCTATGACCTTGCATGAGAGCTGGGCTTTGTCGGTGGCCTTCGCACACTGTGCGGGCCCTATACAGCCTCAACCATGCCACTGGATTCCGAGTCAACTATCCGTTGAGAAGACAGACTTGGGCCGGGAAGCCCGAAGGGAGGCGGGGGTGTATCGGCTTCCAGGCAGAGAAGTTTTTTCCGAAGATGTGTAGGAGGACCCCAGGCTGTGTTTGTAGTGTGCAAGTGTGTGAATATTTCTACATATATATATATATATGCATATGTGTGTGTACATGTGTATATATACATCTATATATATATATATATATATATAGTGTCTAACTATACACACGCCTCCACTCACAATTTGCCGCACTAAATCACTGCCCGAGCAAATCAAATCTCAGAGGAGCGGGGCTGTCGCAGGTCGGTGGACGAGGCAGAGGCCGTTCTCGACCACGCTTCCTGCTTGGCAGCCCAGTAGCCATATTATGATAAGGGCACCCTTTTTGGGGTTGGTTACTTTATAAGAGAAACCCTAAACCCTAAACCCTAAACCCTTGTTGGTTACTTTATAAGGGAACCACTGGGCTGCCAAGCCTGTGTGTTCGGGGTTTCGAGGCGAGTATAGGTTTTTAATTTAGGGCTTAGGGTTCAGGGTTTAGGGTAACATTTAGGGTTCAGGGTTTAGGGTCTAGGGCAACGAGTAGCAGGGTTTAGGGTCTACTGCGCCGTTTAGGCTGTTTGGGGTTGAGGGTGCGCATGTGGGTAGTTGTCTACATTAAGGTCCCTTTGTCGGGTGCCCTATATAGTATGGCACCCTTGAAAAGGATCCCCCAAAAGGGGCCCGAACTTCGAGAACTAATCATGTAGCAAATCGTCGTCTTGGGAGCGTCATTGGAGAAACCCTAAACCCTAAACCCTAAACTGACCCTTTGAGGACGTGGGCCTTCGAACCGAACACGCTACCACGAGTAGTATCATTCCGTGATGGTTGCTTTATAATTCTACCATAAGAATCCCCCCCCAAAATCCCTGTTCTAATTCTTAAGGCCCCTCGTTTGCTCCAAGTTAAACCCTAAGCCCTAAACCTCAATCACTGTCAACCAACCTGCACGGAGGTCACGTACATCGTCTTGGACCGCTTGTAGACCTGCGTCTTCGCTGGGTCACGGCTGGGTTACGGGTCGTTCAACTGTAAACACGAGTGGTTTAGGGTTCAGGGTTTACCTGAAAATGCCTACTATAAACCCGCTTTCCCCGACATTCTTTCAACGTCCACCATGCTCAGTTCAGAGCTTGCTCGCACCATGCGAGCTCACACCATGCTGTTTAGGGTTTAGGCTTTAGAGTTACCCATGTTTGGTGATCCCACCCAAGTAACTATCGTCTCTTTGGTGCCATACGGGCGACATCACATCAAAACCCGGTCAGCACCCTCAATATGCTGGAGGCGACTGCTCCAGAGTGCCATCTTTAACTCTAGAAAGGGGAGGGGGGGGGGGGGGGGGGGGGGGGGGGGGGGGGGGGGGGGCAGTGGGAATTGCAGTATGCAGGGTCATGGCACGCCCGTGTTCTTCGGCTGCCACACAACAGTCGCATTCACTGATGTTGGAGTTTTGCCTATATGGGCATTTCCCCAAATAGGGGTACCGTTTTTTCACCCCAAATAGAATAGATTCCTTTTAGAGGGACCCCACCCCAAAAAAAATAAATACCCCGGATAAAAACAAACATAAACAAACTTTCGGTAAGGCCCCGAGGGGTTCGCCGAGGAGCGTGGGAGGACGAGGACATCAATGAGTTCGTGCAGCGCTGCATGCGATGCATCCTCGGTGAGGCTTATGACTAGACCCGGGAGTAACCTAGGAATTAAAAGGGTGCCCTTCTGGGTTTAAGGGGATTCTAAGGGAACCCCAACCCGCAAAAAAAAGGAAAAAAGGGCCTACCCCTACTCCCGGTCCTAGATGAACAGGGGCTGAGGATTCTGGAGAGTATCTGAGGTCTTAGGTCTTCCCCCTCAATCGTCTTTTATCACCTGCGAACCCTTTAGGACAGAGCACTTCACCCTGAACCATCCGTGAGGCACATCTGAACAAATGGCCAGGCTCGCACACCCAGTTTCTGCAAGGGTTTAGGGTTTAGGCTTTGGTTGCCACCCGCCTAGCTGATGCATCACATCGCACTGCAGGGGAGTCCCTCGTTGCTAGGTTTGGGGTTTAGGGCCGCGTGGCGCGGAAGTTTGCTCGACACTTCGAGTTTCACGAAGGAAGTCCCTAAACTCTGAACACACAAACCCTAAACCCTAACCCACCCTGCTAGCTTTGCATCTATCTGTACCTTGCCTATACACCCTAAACTCTAAGCCCTCAACCGTCCAACCTGAACTCTCTATGCCCTTATACAGCCATACAGGGTTGATCCCCTAAACCCTAAACCCTAAACCCTAAACCCTAAACCCTAAACCCTAAACCCTAAACCCTAACCCTAAACCCTAAACCCTAAACCCTAAGTCTTAGAAGGTGACTTTTCCTATCGTGCGCCAAGAGGCGACAAGGCATCACGTACCTGACCACCAGGGTCTAGGGGCAGGTGTGGGTGGGGGGCGGGGTGGGTCCACTACCCTCAAGAACAAGTTATGTTTAGCTACTAGCCAGCAGGTATACTTATCTGGAGGACTGATGCTGGCACAGCCTATGCACAGGGCTTCAGACAATGGAGCGGCACGGTTCTTCAGCATTAGATTCCAGATGCTTCCAGCTTTTGTCTGGGAAGGCGGTGGAATTTCGTCGCCCCATGGGGTGTTGCTCAAGGCTAACGCAGCTTGCATGTGAGTGCAGCAGAAACCCTTTTTGCTGAACCCTAAACCCTAAACCCTCCAGCCGAAAAAGCAAAAGAACAGCCGCTTTCCAGCCTCTGCATGGCCGCTCTGCCATGACCTCTGCGACTCCATGCGGTTTTCCGCGTCCTGCGGCACACAAACTGCCGGTGTAGGGTTTAGGGTTTAGGGTTTAGGGTTTAGGGCCACAGAGAGCCCTAATATCCGTTATTAGGGAAGATTCCATAATTTATGTAGGGATCCTCAATATGACTTCAGGTCTATTTCTAATTAAGGGGTGTAGGGCTCTTTGGGCACAGCTTGTCAGGGCATCTCCAAAAGCAGGTATACTTTCCTACTGTTTGCTTAATAACTCCCAAAATGTGAAAGACAAGAATCCCTAGAATCCCAGTTAAGGACTGCTAGTATAGGGGGGAACATGCCAAGAGATCCATTTCTTTGTAGCCATGTCGCCGAGACAATGCAGTAACAACTCTGAAGCAACCCTAAACCCCAAACCATAAACCCTAGACCCTAAACCCTAGACCCTTTTGACTAAACCCTAAACCCCAAACCCTAACTACTTTCCTGAATCCTTTGGGATTCTGAACCCGTTTTTGAACCCGTACGGAGGCCAATGGACTCGAACCTGAACCCTAAAAGCCCCCCTCAGAACAAAATCATCCCCAAAATCCCTGAACCCACTTTAGGGTTTAGGGTTTAGGGTTTAGGGTTTAGGGTTCCCCTACAGAAAAAAGAAAGAAAGAAAAACCCCTGAAACCCTTAAGCCCAGAACCCAGAAACCCTAAAAAAGCCTGAAGCCCCAAACACCCCTACAGCAAACTCCGGCAAAGCTGGCAACTCTAAGAGTTGGGTTTAGGGTTTAGGGTTTAGGGTTTAGGGTTTAGGGTTTAGGGTTTAGGGTTTAGGGTTTTGGGGTAGTTGGAACATCATCATCCCCATACCCCAAAAGGTATGCTAAAGTTTACTAAAGGGAATCCCAGCTCCAATCATCCTTAAACCATGCTCCAACTTTCTGGAGATGCCCTAAAACCCGAAAACCACCAATGCCCTAATTACAGGCCTAAAGCCCTCAATAAACACACTGACAGGGCTAAACGCCCCAAAAAACCCAAAGCCCTAAACCCTAACGAAATACAAAAACAACAAGGTAAAAACCTAAAACGCCCCAAAGCACTAAAACCCAAAGAACAAACTAAAACCACAAACAACAACGAAAAACAAACACACACACACACAAGCCCAACAAGCCCTACAGCAACTACCACAAACAAAACCACAAACACGAAAATGAACAACAACATAAACAAATACAAACCTCTAAGACTGGGCAGCCTCGAGCTCCAAGGTCAGTGCTTGTGTGATGTGCGAGGTGCGCCGGGACACCTCCGTGGCTTGGTTTGGGGTCTTTGAGTGTAAGGGCGAGTCCACTATACTCCCCTTAAAACCCTTACTTAAATATGTTATTT